TCAATCTCTGCTGGTTTTCACAGCCAGAAGTTGTGGGGACTTACCTACTTGGGCTGGGAGGCCTAGTGTGGGGCTGAAACTCCTTGCTCCCGATCTGTCCCTCCTGATATTTTTATCCGTGTGGGTGCGGGGCCAGCCTCTTCCGTGTCCATGCCTCTTCTTCCAATCTGGATGGATGTGGTTTCTTCAGTTCTGTAGTTATCAGACTTTGATTCAACTCAATTTCTGATGGTTCTGAGTGATGGTTGTTCTATAGTTTAGTTGTAATTTTAATGTGGTTTTCTGAAAATGCGAGCCATGTCTGACTTCATTGCCATCTTGCCTGTGCCTAGTGCCTCAATTTTTAGGCTCACACTTTGTACTTTACAATCAGACTACAAGGATTCTTAATCAAATGTAATTATAATTCAGAGAAACATTTTTCTGCTTATTTCATGTGATTTATGTAGAGTTCCTATCACGTTGCAAAGTGGAAAGTATTTTTTAACTGCTGACTTTTTCACTCACTTCATGAGGAGTTACAGTGGGGAACTGACCTCAGTCATTCTCTGTTAATGTACACGACTGACTAGAACACTGGAACAGAAATCAGGCCTGTGTTAGTAATGTGTTTTTCCACTTACGAAATTGAAATGTGGGTACTCTGTTGCCATGGATATTTGCTAGTTAAATATGCTGAAAGGTTTAAAATGCTCTCCCGCTTTTGTAGGACCTCATGATGATGAGCAGTAAATTATCCAAGAAGATAATTACAAATTATGGGTTAGGATTAATACGGACTAACAATCATTGACTGTAGTTTAAAAATTCATGTTACCTCTCTTGTGATTAAAAACTGCATTTGTTTAAATCTCTCTTTTAAACAGATATTTCAGTTACTACTAAAGTAAATATAAATGATTCATAGATTCTGGGAAGATAATACTAATTACGTAATAAGGCAGGATTTTAACCTTAGAATGAAGTAGTATCTTAGCATTTGAAATAGTTTCAAAGAATTTTGCTTTGCTGATCGTTTTCTTTGATATATGTGAGTAGTCTTAGAGCTTGAGAAATTATTTTACTGTTGAGCAGGAAAGCATAGAAAATTTAAAGAGTAATTCAGCTGCTGTACTTGAAACCTAGAGGTACAATTTGAAGTTGCATATCAGCTGTCACAGAAATGAGCTTACTCATAAAATTTTGCTGCACACTGCAGAAAATACAGCAAAGGTTTGATTTAATTCTCTCTGTGTCACAACTACTGATTATAATATAAATATACCAGATATTGTTGCCTGTGGAAAATATGGGATGAGAATTATTTAGCATTTTATTCTGAAATACTCGATATATTATTAGTTATAAAATGGAAATTTGCTGATCTAATAAATATACAGGAGCCCATACAATTAATTGTCATGTACATTTGCTGCTGTCATCCAATATCTCCAGTTGACTACCTGACATTTCTACTTGGGTGACCTTATTATTTAACGCTAACCTATTATCTGACGCTGAGTTCTTGATCAGTAATGAAACTTCCAATAGTGTTCCTGTGGGGAAAACATAGACTCTGCTTTGTGATGTGTCTTAGGGTGTAGTGAAAAATGACTATTATCATTTCAAAGGACACTTGTACTTTCCTCTTTCATTATTACTGCGAACTCTCTATATCCCAAATTGCATTCTTCTCTCATTCCAAAAACTTGCAAGGCAAGATGTCCTTGCATAGTCGAAAACAATGGACTTGCGTCCTACTTTGGATATTGCCACTAACTGTGTGAGCCTCTCTGGATATCACTTTTCCTTTTTTTCAATTTTTTTTTAAACTTTTAAATCATATATATTCTATTACAGTTGTCTCAATTTTTCCCCCTTTGCCCTCCTCACACATCCCACCCTGCCCCCCTCCACTTTTCCTTATTTTTAAAATGAGGGTGTTAGACTGGAAGATCTATAACATTGCTTCAGGCTTTTTGCTCTAAAAATTGAGTTGTTTAAGTGCATCACCTGAATGGGTTGTATGACTGAAATGTTGCCTGCTTTCTTCTGGTCTCACGTTGGTCATGTGTTACCCTTATCCATTCAGTTATAAAGAGCCTCGTAAATAGCTTTTATTCAACATTTTCTCTGTTCTCATTTTTCTTTCCATTTTTGCTTACCTTAGTCCAGGCCTAGATCAAACTAGAGCACTAATTCCAGTCTTTCCTCACTCTGTTGTGTCCCCATACTGCTTTTTAATTCATCTTCCTTCAAGACCAGTTTCATCAAGTTACTTCTACTTAGGAAATGCTATTGGCTTACTTCTACATACTGTGTACATTTTTGTTTCTTCTCTTAGCTTTCAAATCCATAGCAAGATTTTGTGTTTTAATCATATTGTTTTCACTAACTTCATTCTATGTTTTTCCATATCTTTTACTAAGTTATTCTCCTTACCTGAATGCCTTTTCCTTTTCCCCTTCTGCCATTCTGAGAGACTACCTTGTGAAATATAACCCAGCCACATTAGTAACATATGAGAGTCTCTGAAGGTTTGTGCTACCTTTTTAAGGATCCAAAACCATGGTAAGAGACATAAAAAGCAAAATATGCCTGCTTCTTGAGTGTCACCTATGTGCCAGACATATTATCTAATTTAAAGCTTCCAAAAATCCCTTGAGGTGGATGGCATTAACCATAACATCTACTGATTTTGAGGCTCAGAGAAGTGAACCAACCTTTGGAAGATCAAACAGCTAGTAAGCAGTGGAGCTGGGATTTGAACTCTGTTTGGGATCTTTTTACTTCTCCCTAAAAAAGTAGACAAAGAATCATTAGTTGCCTTCTTTACACCCACCACTCCCCTGCAACAAACACATAAACTGAATTAAAGACACAGATTTAAGTGCTTAACATAATCTGGCAGCTGGCATATATATGCTCAAGATTTAGGTGGAAATTTTTCCTAAATTTGGAGAGTATAGATACTTGAGAGTTCCTTTCTCTACCTAATTTATCAAAGGAGCTTGAAGTAGGAGAGGCCTTTCATCTGATGAGTGTTTCATTTTCTTTTAGGAACCCTAGGGAGATCTTTAATGGAGTAATGTGATTTAACTTCTTTCAAAGAGAAAATAGTAAGACATTTTCTTTCTTGACATTAAAAGCTGAAAAAGAGATGACCTTCATGTGTTCATTTGTTCAGTAATCATCCTTTATGACAATGACTAGATGAACATAAGGGTTATGGGTAAGCAATTCAAGCAGTGTTGTTAATGGTATTTTAAAGGAAGTCATACAAATTGTTGGAAGCTTTTGATTTACTTGAGTTCACCAATGACTGTCAAAGTGAAAATGTGGTTTTTAAGAGTAGTAGCTGACTTGGATAGTTTCCTTCTAAACACCATGGTCACTGTGCATAGTGATGAACCCTATTTTTCTGGTTTCATTCCTCTTTTGTATGTGGTTGACTCCCCAATGCCTGCCCCCTTGTAGCTCTCCTAAGCTTTAATCCTGCACCTTCAGCTCGCTGCTAGATCTTTCCACTGGTGACCTGTCATCTCAAACCTAACAGTCATAATTTGCTATGTTGTATGATTGTATGTTCATGTTATTGTATTATGTTCCTGAATATAAAGTTCTTGTGTGAGGATCATGACTTATACTCCTTTGAATCTCCTGTACCCATTGTAGCGCTGTGGGTAAAATAGGAAGCCAAGTACATGTGATTACAGTAATCTTCTTGGTGAAAGTAGCTTTTCTCTTTTGGTAACTTCAAAAGCCCTAGTATTGATCCAGAGTTCAGTTAAAATTGCAAAGCCTATAGAACTAAACAACAACGACGACATTCTGTTTTGTATCTTGTAAAACAAAAGCATTATCTTAGAAAATTGTCATGTACTCCCTATAGAAGAAAAGATTTTCTCTTCTGTGATGAATGACTTAAATAACATTTATTTAAAATTAAATCCATTCTGAGTTTTGAAGGTGATGGATATGTGTGTTACCTTGATTGTGGTGATGGTTTCAGGGTATATGCATATGTCCAAACTCATCAAATTGTATATATTAAATATGTTACAGTTCTTTGAATATTAGTTATAAACCAATAAAACTGTTAAAAATTCATTTCACTGGCTTTTAATAGGCAATATAAAATTATAGCACAAATTTTTGCTGTTCATTTCACTTTAAACTGATTTGATTTTCTGTGTACTTCTCCATTGCCTAACACATTGTCTCTTACCTTTTTCTTTTCAAATTTTTCTTTTATAATACTTCTGGTCTTTATTTTTTTTTAAGATTTTATTTATTTTTAGAGAGAGGGGAAGGGAAGGAGAGAGGGAGAGAAACATCAGTGTTTTGTTGCCTCTTGTGCGCCCCTAACTGGGGACCTAACCTGCAACCCAGGCATGTGCCCTGACTGGGAATCAAACCCGCAACCCTTTGGTTCGCAGGAGGGTACTCAATCCACTGAGCCACACTGGCCAGGGCTACTTCTGGTCTTTTAAAGTGCTCTGATTTATATTTTAAAGGGCATATTTTAAATTATTTTAATTGTCTTGAGGTTGTTAATACAGACTTGAGGACCAGGACCATGATTTATTTGTCTTAGATATTGGCATTATGTCTAGCAAGTGTCTGGCAAAGAACCAGGTAATGGCAGATCACTCAGGTCTCCTGAGATGGAGACCAGTGCTCCTTTTTTATTATGCTGTGTGAGCCCTAGCCTGTAGTTGCATTATGAGTTAAAAACATCAATGATGATTTTCTCTAAAGTTAGCACTTTTAAGAGGTCTTGACTATGTTTTTAAGCTTTTGGAAGCTCTCTCACTGAATAAGTGACTATATACAAAGAGTATATTGATGCTGCTGCACTAAAATAGGACCGAATCAGAATTAATGTCTTCGGATTCTGTATTTATTATGTCTTTCATTAAAGTACGGTAATTTTAATAAATATAAAATATGTTGTGGTATTTAAAATGTGTTTTTAAAAAATTTTGCTTTCCCTCCCCTTTCTCCCTATATTGACGAAGTTACCAGGCAGCGACATTGCCAGCGGGAGTGACGTGCTTTCCGATGTTATACCCAGCATCCCAAGTTCACCTTGCCTGCTTCCTAAAAAGAAAAACAAGCACCGGAATTTAGATGAGCTTCCCTGGAGTGCGATGACAAACGATGAGCAGGTAGAGATCTCAGCATTCTTAATTAAAAGCACCTATGTGGAGAATAGGTGACGTTCAAGTTCCTGTTTAAAGTCACAGGGTAAATGTGGATTGCTTAGTAAATTTGAATTTGAGCTATAACTCACTGTTTTATGGAGATCAAATATACTATTAAGTGCTTTGATGTTTAAAACATTATAAATGAGACACTAAATAATCAGAAGTTTTGGCATTGATCTTGTTTATTATAACGTTTCATCACACAGGTGGAATATATTGAGTATCTGAGCCGTAAAGTCAGTACCGAGATGGGTCTTCGGGAGCAACTAGATATTATAAAAATAATTGATCCTTCTGCTCAAATCTCTCCTACAGACAGTGAGTTTATTATTGAACTTAACTGTCTCACAGATGAAAAACTGAAGCAGGTATGAGAAAATACATATTGTTCAGCTAGTGAAAATAACAGTGTTTTTATAAAATGTATACCTAAACAATCATCTGTAAATACGTGTATAATTAAAGTCAAAATCAATGCTGTGAAATGTAATACTTGAGCAATAAAAAAAGTAATAAAAAAAAGAAAAATGGTAATATTTGAAAATACATGGTTTTAAGAGGTTTTATGTACATTTCACCTGGTAGGACCTTTCTGGGATCATGTGTGTCTAGAACTTGCTTTTTAGTTGTGTAGGCTTTAAAACTTAAATTCACCACATTAGTGGTGGTTACACTAAAGTACAGACTTATTCTAACTCAGCTTATAAAAGACTGATTGGCAGAATGAAAATGCTGATTATTGAGAGGTATACTTGACCATCTGAACTGAATGATTTGAGTAAAAGTCTTATGGAATAACTGAGCTTGGCTAGGACAAAATGTAATTAATTTTTCCTTCTGCTATTCTGAAATAGACATTTCTGGTACCTTCTAAACACAGTCTTTACTGCAGTGTTTTTGCTGTCACATAGCTAAATGAATACTTAGGTTCTACTTTTTAAAAATGTTTTGCATTTATCATCACATATGAAACATTTTTCTCATTTTGGCATTTTTCTCAACAGACATACTATAATTTCCTGTATTCCAGCTCATTTTTCATTATATGGTAAATTGCTGCCTTGCCTTTGAAAGCAGATACCATGTGCCCCTAGCTAGGATTTATTGAACACCCTAATGTTAGTTATAATTAGCAATTTACTTAAATTGTCTTTAGTGGAGACCTTTTAAAAATCTCATCTATTTTATTTTATTGTTAGTTATTCTCTGAGTGTTGTTATCCTATATTCCTAAATTCTGGAGGCCAATAGTCTTCCATTTTCTGATTATATATTATGGGCTTTTAAAATGTGGCTCCATAATATGTATTCTAGAAGTTTGAACATTGTTAAGAGGTTTCTTTTTGTCCTTATTTCTATCTATGTGTATCTCTAACACTTTTGACAGTCTTTTAACAGAAGTACACCATTCTTTTTTCGTCCGGTATTCTGAGCATAAAATGTCAACTAACAACACTAACCAGCTTTTCTCTGTGTGTTCCAAGGTCAGAAACTATATCAAGGAGCATAGCCCTCGCCAACGGCCTGTAAGAGAGGCCTGGAAGAGAAGCAACTTTAGCTGTGCAAGCACCAGTGGAGTGAGCGGTGCCAGTGCCAGCGCCAGCAGCAGCAGCGCCAGCATGGTCAGTTCTGCGAGCAGCAGTGGGTCCAGTGTTGGAAACTCTGCTTCAAACTCCAGTGCCAACATGAGTCGAGCACACAGTGACAGCAACTTATCTGCAAGCGCAGCAGAGCGGATTCGGGATTCAAAAGTAAAATGTCTAATCAATACAAAACTTTACCTTTCAGTATTAATATTAGTATTCCCTCATATAGCTTTCTTGGAGTTAAACTTATGCTGCTATCTAGATGCCTATGGGTTTTGGTTTAAATTTTTTTGGTCCTCCATTCTTTTATTTAGTATACATATGCAGATCTGTCTTATGTGCAATATTTGGTTCTATCAAATAATCAGACCAAGGCATTCTATTGTAATACTCCCCAAAATAGATTCAGGTACAATAGATCTTTGTGCACTTCATGGACAAAGCAAAACTTAAGACTTCATTACTGATTTCAGTTTTGAGGACATACAATTCAAAATATACATAAACTGGGTTAAGTGATAAAAGTGGGCTGAAAGAAACCACAGGATTCAGAACAATTAAACCGCATATTTTGCTTGCATTAGAGCCACAACGTGAACAGCAAATTGTACATATGGCATAACCCTTTCACTTCATTGCGAGGAACTTCTGTGGCAACGAACTTCATGACAATCGAACAAAGCCCTCCAGGCTGAGTGCTTTGAAATGCTATTGTGACCTGCATAGCATTCAGTTCTATCTGATTTTTATGTCTGTTTTAAGTAAGATAATTGATGGAAACAATGAGTGAGTCTCAGGAATGATACTGACTGCAACTTATTACTGAGCAGATCTCACTGTATTGCTGATATTGTTCTCTTTTAGCTCCTAAGAATGTTCTGTCTTGTGTGTGTGCTGAATGTTTTCTTAATGTTTAGTCTTAAATGTTTCTTCTTAGCCCTTTTAAAGATGTAATAATGCTTTCTCTAATTTCTGTCTACTGTTTTCACAGTTGAAAAAGTTCTGTATAATATTGTTGGGCATATAAAAAATAGGAGATACTAATATAAGTATATGTATGGTTTTGTGATGCCTAGCAGGGAAGTTCAGTCCTTGCAGTGGTGGCAGTCTGGAGCCAGCTTAAGGAGGATAAGGGTGTCTTTATAACTCTGTGGAAACCAGTGGTGACTAGAAGATACACAGTGTTTCCCCTCTGGTTTTTACCTAAATAACAGAACATAGCTGGCTTTGTCCGTTGCCAAGAGATTCTTCTGGATGTGTGGTCATTCCTTTTTAGCATCAGTTCAGCAGTGACAAGGAATGGACTACTCACTGGGTTTCTAATGGGCCTTTAAGATAGTACTTGAATAACATGGAAAATACATGATTCTTTTCCAGTCAGTAAAAGGGCCAGTGCTTTTGGATAAAAGACATCTTAAAAGTGTAAGCATTAGAGATTTTGGAAATGTTCTCTATATTTGTATTCAGTATTGTTCAGGATGTGTTCACTCTGCACTGACACCAATGTACCTTAATTTGATTTTTAAATCTTTGAAATGATTGGTTATCCATACTAGTCAAAATTATCAAGTTTCAACCCTTCCTTATCAGAAGATTCACTGGTCAGATACCATAATAATAGAATCTTGAAGAATCAAGAATCATTTTCAGGTCTGAGCCAGTGGCTCACTTACTGGAACCAGGCTCATACTGCAGAGGAATTTGAACATCTCTAAAATTCTGAAAATAGAGATTTGGATCAATAAAATACTTTGGGGTGGATATGCCAGAACTAAACCTTACTGATTTAGAAATTTTTATTTTGACAGAAGCGATCTAAGCAGCGGAAGTTGCAGCAGAAGGCCTTACGCAAGAGGCAGCTGAAAGAGCAGAGGCAGGCTCGGAAGGAGCGGCTCAGTGGGCTCTTCCTTAACGAAGAAGTGCTGTCCTTGAAAGTGACTGAGGAAGACCACGAAGCAGATGTAGATGTTTTGATGTAATAAGGGTGAAGTTATCAGCATTCTTTCTAAGCATTAAAGCGTTCAATTCTTATTTGTTTACGTGCATCTTGACCAAACTTTTGGTTAGAGCTGTGCTGATATACCATTAATAATTTAGACCAGTGGTTCTCAGCAGGTGGTCCTGGACTAGCATCTTCAACATCACTTGAGAAGTTGTTAGAAATACATACAGTAGGGCCCCACTCCAGATGTAGTGAATCAGAAACCTTGGGGGAGAGACCGAGCATTGTGTTTTAACAAGCACCAGGTTACTCTGCTTTATCTTTTTTTTATCCTGAGGACATTAATAACCTGAGGACATTTCATTGCTGAGGGAGAGAGGCACTGGTACATTGATGCGAGATAGAAACATCGATTGGTTGCCTCTGGACGCACCCCATCCAGGGATCAAACTCACAACCTGGGTATGTGCCCTGACTGGGAATCGACCCACAACCTTCCAGTCCACAGGATGAAGCTCCAACCAACTGAGACACTCCTGCTAGGGCTGTGCACACTAGTTTTAAGAACCACTGATTTAGTAAATGTTTTGACTATTTAAACTTTAATGTGGTTAAATAGGCTTTTTAAAATACTAGTACTCTTACCATTAAGATTTCAAGGTATTGCTGACAAGTAGTTTATTATGTCAGTATATGTACATGTATAGAGATCATAATTCAGTTTCCTTAATGTTAGGATTTCTTAGTTTACTTTTTCTAAAGGGCCATAGCATAATTCTCAATTCCTAGTGGAGATCTTTTTTTGAGGTTGTGGGGATGGAGTATGGATTGCTGTTTACAATAGTGCCTTCATTAGGTTTAGTACTATCTGTTTTCATTCATTATTATTAACTCATAGTTGTAAAAACAGGCCCTATTATCTCTCTTCTTAGATTTGTTTTTGCTTTTTACCGTATGTACACTTAGAATCCTTTCTGTAAGTAATGACTACTGAGGAAATAATGTTACTAATAGCTGAATTTTAGACTTGATGCTATGTTGATTAATATTCAAATGTGAAAGCAATTAAAACAACCCATTCTACTTTTTCATTGATTTCTGAAGTTTTAGGCTGTGAAAATGTCTTCAAGGCAAAAAATATCTTAAGTTCTTTTTTTTCCACACAGCTCTAATTTTTAAATATTTGGTATAGCTTCTGGCATGTGAACAGGTTAACGTTCAAAATTAACTAAAGAAAACCATTACAGTTCTGCTAAACTTCTCTATAAATCATTAGAAATACATACAGCAGTGAGATAATAGGGAAAAAAAACCCTTAGCTTGTTAGCTGTTAAAGTAGAACTAATTTTAAATGTGGAATCATGGAGTTTCTTTAAATGCTCTCAAGGAGAGTTTGTTATGAACATTCAAAACTAGTGTGATTTCTTTTCTTCTACCACACATCTTTAATCATTCACATGGGCTAAAAGAAGGAAACTGATACTACTGACAATCAAGCCGCTTTCTGACTTTCATAATTTTCATTTTATTGTAGATAACTTTTGGAAGGTAATCATGATACTATAGGAGTTGTAGTTAATATTTTTAAAATTAGAGTCAGGTTGATGGGAATTTCTACACTTTTTTAACTTTTTATTCACATCAAGTAATTTGTAAAGATAAAAATTAATGACCTAAATTCTTAATTTAAAATTCTTTATCTAAATATAAAGGCATAACCTTTGTTTATAGTCAGGTGTTTTGAAAATTGGATTTCATCATGGTTCCTTGAAGGTTAAAGAATTGAAATTGAGGATAAAAATTGCTATATTGCAGCTTTGTTAAGGTCTATAAAATTTTGAAGACCATTAAATTCATACTTCAATTTTACTAAAATAAAAATTTGTATGTGTATGTGGTTATTAGTTGGAGTAGTCCTTCTGACTTTCCCCTTATCCTCTCTTTGATGCTCCTAACCAGTTTAGAGGGCCCAAAGAGAGCTTGAGGATGGACCCCAGAATACTCTGAGGAAGATGGGAAGGGCCATCCTCTTTGTGTTTTCCTTTTCAGGTATAGGGAGAGTAGATGGAAAGAAGAGCAAACAGAGCTAAATTCTCTCTCTGCTCTTGTCAAAAGCAAAATTTCTGTGAATGATTGTTCTCTTTACCTACTATTCAAGGAAAACAGTCCCCTTTTGGAGAACATAGAGCAGAATTTCTCTGGTTAGTACTGGGAAACAGTTTACTTGACAGTGACCAGGAAAAGGAAATCCTAAACAGGGTTGTGATGTAATAAGACTAATTCTTCTCTCCCAACAATCACATAGTCTTATTACCTTAGATTGAACTTAAGTCACTATTAAACAAGTTTACTAAAGCACCGCAAAGCCAACTTTAAAAGTATATGAAGTTTTGAGAGTTCATAGTAAAGTATGCCATGATACTTTGTATAAATCTGGATGAACTGTTTTTACAGTTATATAAATTAGAAATAGCCCAGAAAGTTGGTTTGGAAGAGATTGTAATGCTTCCTCTGATTAAAATATAAAAAAGTAAAACAACTTGGGATTGCTTATGATTCAAGAAGGAGATTGCAAACTCTTCATCCCCCTTCAAAAAAACCCAGCAGAAAAATCAAAAAGTTCGTGTCTTTGTCAGGTAAATAATTCAAGTTTGAATTATTTCTTTTTTGGAATAAGTAATAACTTATTCAATCTGGTATGTCTCTGAGTTCAATTTAAAAAAAACACAACTCAGTATTGTTTTCTTTTTAAGTATAAGCCCTAGCTAACCAATTAATAAAAATGTGAAATTTATTTGCTCAAATGTCAATTCTCCGCTTTAAAATAAGCTTTGTTAATGCAGAGCATGATAAAGTCATCTGAGATTCATCCACATTTTATTAGAGGTCTTGTGTGCATGTCAATTATATCTCAATAAAACTGAAAAAAAGAGAGACCATGGAGGTCTGTCAGTCCCCACCACAGTTTTTTAAAGTATGAGCTTTGAGTTAAACAAAGTGGCATGTCTTTTTCTACAGTTTTGCAATGGAATTAAAGTAAGGACAATGTTGTTAGTATAATGCATAGTGGAGTATAAAGGGCTAGTTCATTATGTCCCAGTAAGGACTTAGAGCAAAATAACCTTTTTTTCCCTTGAGACTTGTCTCATTTTTTCTTAGGCTGTTGTGGTTTTGACCATTTTTTCAGTCCTTTGTGTTAATTGAATATTGCTGAATTAATCCCAGAAACTGACTTGTAACTTAATGACTTTATGGAATGGGTGGGCATCTCATTTTTATAGTTTTTAAAGTGCTAAATCCCCTCATAAATGAAAAATTACAAGAAACAAAAGTATAAAAGAATACAGATTCTGATGACTTTTAAAAATTGAAATTTATCAAATGTGTTCATATTTATGCTAAAAATGTTATTACATGACAAATATAGAAGTCTGGTTTCCAGCTTCTCTAGCAGAGATTTTTGTTCGTGGCTTATTCTGTATAGCCTCATGTGCCTTAAAGGTGAACTCTATACTTTTTGTCAGTGTGACTTTTCCAAACTAAAAAATAATCTAAATGTTGATATTTGTTTTATAAAATGCTCATGGCAATTGGATATCAGTAAGCAAAGCCATTAAATTGAAACAATCAATGGTAACAGAGAGTATAAGAAAAAAAACTTTCAGATTTTAAATTTCATTTGCATAACTTTGTTTGGACCATCTTGGCCATTGAAGAACACTGAAAGTTATCTAAAGTATGCTCAGTGTATTCTTTTATTTTTTTCCCCCTGAAAAATGTCATATGCGAGAATACTTTTTAAAACCAGACAAACTCTTAGTATCTGGAAGGATAATTTTTAAGGCAGTAGTACTTCAAGCACAGATTATATATAGTAAGTTGATTCTCTTGTTAACTTTAGGGATTCTTTGCATTCATTTGTGAACAGCTGAACAATCCTCACACTTTTAACAAATTACCTTTTATCACTCCTATCTTCAAGAAAAATTTTTGCTTGGAATTGGGAGGAAGTTACTTAAAGTCAATGTATAGTTAGAGATGGTTGATAGGAAAATTCTCAGTTGCATTCAAACAATAGTATTGATGGTGAGCACACTGACATTCAACATCTCTAAACTTAGAGGTAAATTTAATTCTTAAAAGGACTATTAGTTAGAAAATAAGCATTTGTATAACATGTACTGTGATAACTTTGGATTTAAGTCTGACAAAGTAAGATAAATTTTGTCTTTACAATGAAATGATGCTAAGTGGGTAAGAAGCATCTGAGAGATACTTAGACCTAAGCTTCTCTGTCAGCATAGTATCTGGAACATAGCTCCTTAGAATGCTTAATTCTTATTTCTTTGGAAAACAGCTTATCCCAAAACGCTTAGAAGGAGTTCAAATTCCTCTAATTAGCTGGCTATTAAGAATAAGGAACTTGCGTGGAATAGCTGCAGATCTGAGTTGACTAAAATTTTATTTTCATATGTTTTCTAATATTAAAATTACTTTCAGCTCTCCTCACAATTATATTTTAAATAAAGGTTATTAATGTTTTAATCAAGTTCAACATTATGGTAAATTAATTTTTAATTTGATATTCATATTTAACTCAGAAAAACTTGGTCTTCTCAGATTTCAATATGTAGTATTTTTTTCTTTATTGTTAAGTTTCTATGTTACATTTTTGGTCAATGGAATCTATGGAAATGTGTGCTCTTTTTTGTGGTAGAGGATGGGAGTAGAAAAGAGGAGAATTGCTCTAATTATACATATGCATTTTGACTATATAAAGGTAGCTATAAACTTAATGTGTATAAATGACAAGTTAACATTTACATATTCTTAATTGTTCTAAGGAACAGTGGCCTGAAGCCATGGCTTGTTTTGTGGAGCTGGTTGCTCTTTAATGGTAGCAGACCAGTTAGATTTAAGTGGAAACTTTTGAATTGGGTTATCTAACTCATCCAGCTCAGGCTTTTGGGAATAGAGCAGACTATGTCTGTTCCCTGTAGTGGATCAATTTAATTTTCTTTTTAAGTACTCTAATTTAGATATAGGTATTATCCATTTTAAATCTTTGTGTTGGGAATTTAATAAGACTGTAGTCAAACGCTATTAAAAATAAACACAAGTATATGTAAAAATTTTCTCAGATGGTTTAAAAATTTCCATTTTTTAGTTTAAAGGTTAGTTCTATAGCATCAATATCATAACCAAAGCAAGTAGGAATTCGACTCATTTGGAGAATCTTCAAGTAGTCTTAAATGCTGTAATATATCAGATTGTTAACTAGGATTTTTTCCCCTGTATTTGTGCTAAATGTATTATTATATTAATGCACTTTCATATATATAGCTGTCTTCTCTACATTCTGTACTTACTATAGTGCACACAAAAGCTGTTTTTCCTAAAGCTGTGAGGGAAAAACAATAGCTGTAATACAAGTCGTTTCTATTTTGAGTTCCTTCTTGTACTTGAAAGTAGTAGCTCAGTAGTTAAATCTAAATGATTATGTATGGTTGTAATTAAAACTGGCAATGTGGCAGAACTGTCTTTTGAAACAATATCAGAATGAAAAGAGTTGTTTTGGATATTAAGGACTCTTGTAATGTGTTGTTTCTTTCTTTCTTTCTTTTTTTAAATGTACAATGAAGTTTCTACAAAGCCCATTGCTGCTGAATCCACTCTTCTTCATGTTCCATCCCAGAACATTTATCAAGGAAGAATTGCTCTCTTTCCTTTTGCTCACAGTTTGGTTAAGGCTCCGAAAGCCCCAATTTTCCAAATTTCATTGGCAAGTCATTTTTTTCTGGAGAGATCAAATTTCTAGAGAGATTAGCATTCATAGAAAGTGAAAATTAGGTCTAAGTTTTATTTAAAATATCATATCTATTTTCCTTATATATTGACCTAGAATCTTTTCAAGTTATATAAAAGAAGTGTCTGTGAACAGTTTTACATGCAGATACAGAAGCAATTCAGCTGTTCAGCAGCAACTTTATCTCTTGCCACTAGAGGGAGGTCTGGTTGTTCAGTTCAGAAAATGTCTTAGCTGCTTTTCTTTTGTTTTTAATTTTAGAGGTTGAAATCAACCTCATTCTCAGAATTCCTTTTGTGATATTAAATACTTTCATTTATTAGTCTTAGGTGAGTTAATTAAGTTTGTATAATAAAGCCCAGTCTTATTCATGTTTTTTGTAACCTTCAATTTTTAGTAAATGTTAGATATTAAGTGAAGAGTGTGTGTGTGTGTGTGTGTGTGTGTGTGTGTGTGTGTGTGTGAGGTATTTTAGAACTTTTCTGTCCATTATGGTAATCACTAGGCACATGTGGCTGTTTAAATGAATTAAAATGTAAAATTTGGTTCTTTGGTCACGTTAGCAACACTTCAAGTGCGAAATAGCCACATATAGTGAGAGGCTAGTATATTGGAAACCTCAGGATACAGAACATTTCCGCTGTCAAAGAAGGATCTGTTGGACCACACTGATTCTAGAGATTTGATGGTTTACGTAGTGACTGTTACCATTTTACCAATGAAAACTGATCAGTGGCTCAAAACTGCTGCCCACAATTAACTTGTAGGCAACTGATGTGAGAGGGACAGTAAGGTATATCAAATAAGAAGTGTGAATTTAAGAATCATCCCTCAGAGTGTTTCTTTATTCTTGTGATGTGAGAGCCTTAATAGAGTCAGTGTTACTTGGGTCTGACAATCCCCCGTCCTGCCACTATCAGTTTGGATCTTATGGTAAGTGGGATGTTTATATTACATTAGCCATGTTTCTTAGTAATACTTTGACAATATTAGATTTAGGTAAATTTCCTCTTTGTAATGGGGAAGTAACATTTTGAACATTCCAGTTTATTCATTTGATTGTCAGGATCCCATTATATGCTTATTTTTTCTCTTAAAAAAATAGCAGATAACCACATTTATGTACTTCCAGTTTTGCCATAAAAAATATTTCGAGTAGGACAGCGAAATGAATCCTCACATCCCCGCATCTACTTCAGTTCTTCTCTTATGGCCATTCTGGTTTGTTTTACCCTGTCACCCACTCACCTTATCTCAACTCCCAATGATGCTAAAGCTAACTCCAGGCGATATAACATCATTTGAAAATATTTCAGTATCAGATTTCTAAAAAATAAGGGCACTTTTGTTTTATACTTACCTATGGTATCATCATACCTCCATAAATAAAAATGATTCCTTACATTAAATATGTGCTGTGCTTACTTGGCTTGGAATCAAAACCATTACCATTAGTCTTATTAATTTCAAAATCATTCTGCATTTTGTTAGCAATAAGTTAGAATAATTTTATTATTGCTTGATAAGACCTGATGGTGTGTCTTGAGCACTTTTTCATCGAAAGCGAGCTATCTATTGTTTTTTAAAACAAATTCCAGTGATTTTCTTTACTACATTGTTAATAAAGCCATGGTCTAATTTTGATAGCAGGCAGGAATGAGGGAAGTAACTGTTTAAGATAAGTATTTTCTGTCTTACCTACCTCTGGTCACGGTAAAGATTTGAATATCTAGTATTTATAAGGAGTTTTTTAAGGGTACTATGGACGAATATAAATAAAAATAGAAATTTTTTTTTATTCCCTAGAAATTAAGTTTAGGAAATCTGTTTCAACAAATGTGACTGAGACTGTTGGTTTTGGTTTTATATTTTAACTTACTGAAGTTTATACTTTCCAAATAAATTGTAGAGTTTGAAAGCTTGAAGGAACTTATGAGGTCATTTAGCTTGGTGGTTGTCAAACTTGAGTGTGTATCAAAATCTCCTGAAGGGCTTGTTAAAACACAGATGGCAAGGCCCCACTTCCAGAATTGGTCTGGGGGTGGGGCCTGAAAATTTGAATATTTTACACGCTTCTAGATGATGCTGATGCTGCTGGTCCAATGAAAACTCAGAGAACCACTGGTGTATCCCCTTTATTCCCTGCCTACATTTTACACATGAGGAAATTTCCACTAACAGGAAAGTCACTTCTGTGCTCTAAACTTGTTAGTGACATAGCCAAATCAGAGTCCAAATCTTAAGGTTCCTTAATAACTCTGCAGGCCCAGTGCTTTCCCTGTTGTGAGTTAATTTCCTTCAGACTAGTTGCCTTCAAGTAATTCCTCTGAGTCTTCATCTGAACATTTGGATTTTCTTGGTAGTGGTAAGTCTTTATCTCCCTAGATGGTAAGTTTCTAAATGGTAGTCTGGGGATTAAAATTATTGGCAAAAGACTTTTTGCGTGCTGATGTATTTTTCCGGGGGAGGGCTCCATCTCTTTTTATCAAGTTCTCAAATGAGTTTTCTTCCCCTTAATGGCTAAAAGGACTCTGTCCTTTTAAGGGCAGTTGTGGTTTTTGGAAATAACCAAGGGTCCTCTGGAGGCTGTCTGGAGGTTAATGTAGGTGAGAAAGCTAGAAATCACTACACTTGGTCAGTGAGGTGTGGTTTCACGGGTAGTAAGACTGGTTTTCATTTGTGGCCTAAAAACTGGCTGTGATATATATTAAAAGAATTTCAGAAATATTTTGGGCAGTGACAGCATCACTGGACTAGGTGTATGGTGATGACATGGAATGAGGATGTTATTAATTTGGATGTATTGGCTTACTGATTAAAAAGCCTTCATTATTTTATAATCATGACATGTGTTCTAGAGAAAAATCTTCCACTAATGTTTGAGGAATATTGGGTTAGATTTCACAAAATTGTTTCTGAAATCCGAGATAAGAGAACCAGATGGTAATTAAAAACTTGAAAGATGTGATGTAAAACTTTTTGATTTAATGGTCATTAAACCAATCTCTCTATTTTTGCAGATGAGCAGTCTGAGGCTAAGAGAGGTGAAGTGCTTCATACAGGTCCCATGACTGAATGATGACAAATTCAGGACCAGAATCCAAGTCTCTTGAGCTATAAACTAGAGCTCTTCTCACTGTATCGCACTGCTTTATCTCATGCAGCTACTTTTCACAGTGGTTTGGGAGAAACTACCTTGAGTTTGGTATAAATCAGTGGTTGAAGTGTGGCCCCCACACCAGCAAAATTAGCATCACCTGAGAGCTTGTAAGAGCTGCAAACTCTCAGGCCCCACCCCAGACCTATCCAGTCAGAAACTTGGGGTGGGACCCAACAGTCTTTGTTTTAACAACCCCTCCCAAAGGATTCCGATATACCTTCAAGTTTCAGAGCCACTAGTACAGAATAAGGAATCCCTACTCTGGCTGAACATCAGAGTCATCTGGGGAACTCCTAGAAAATAATGGTGCTTAAGCACCATCACCCTCACTAACTGAGAAGTTAAAATTAGAATCTTAGAGATGAGGCCTGGGCATCAATTGTTTTATAATAAACACTTCGGAATAATTTTAGATTTGTAGAAAAGTGTAAAGATAATACAGAGAGTTCACGTGTATCTGTTACCCAGTACCTGAATATTAATATCTTAAGTAACTGTGATACACATTTGTTGAAACTAAGGCATTGACATTGGTATATTACTGTTAACTACAGACTTTATTCAGATTTCGCTTGCTTTTCTACTAATTTTTTTTTCTATTCCAGGATCCAATCCAGGATCCCTCATTGCATTTTATCATCATGTCTCCTTAGCCTCCTCTGGTCTGTGACAGATTCTGTCTTGTTCATGATCTTGACAAATATGAGAATTGATCAGGTATTTTATGAAACGTCATCCCTCAATTTGGGTTTGTCTGATGTTTTCTTCATGATTGACTAGGGTATTGGAATTTGAGGAGGATCACCACAATGGTGAGGTGCCATTCTCATCACATCATCCTGAAGGGTACGTGCTATCAACATGACTTAATACAAGGCATGCTAACTTTGAGTACCTAGCTAAGGTAGCACTTGCCAGGCTTCTCATTGCAAAGCTACTATTTTCTTCATTCTATACTCTTTAGAAACAAGTCATTCAGTCCAGCCCACACTCAAGCAGGAAAGGGGAAATAGGCTCACCTCCTAGAAAGTGAAGTATTTATACATATTCTTGGGAATTCTCTTTGAAAGATTTGCCTTTGCTTCATTTATTTATTTGATCATTTATATTAGCATGCATTCATGGGTATTTATTTTATATTTTGGGTTATAACGTAATACTATGTTGTTTATTGTGGTCAAATGTTTTCAACTTTGGACATTGGGAACTCATAAAGGTTGAATCCAGTCTCCCTTAGACCTATTCCTATTTTGTATTTTGAGCATTTTATTTTCTGGTACCATATGATACTCCAGCACTAGAATCAGCATTTCTACAAAGAACTGGTCGCCTCTTTTTACAAGTCGCTCAAGTGATTTTTATGCAAGATAAGTGTGGGAACTACTGATGTGGAGAGTGAACCATATTCTTCTGTAAATCTCCTAATGCCATGATCAGAAATACTATGAAGATTATAATTTTAAAAATGTCATCTTTGATTCAGTCTTCCTCCTTTTCCTTTCATGTTCAGCCTTTTCACTAAAGCTGCTTTCTCCTTGGCATCCAGAGCAGCACTTTAAAAACTTTAATGTGCATAGGATCTTCTTAAAATGCAGATTCTGATTCAGTAGGTGTGGGGTCAGAGTGTAAGGTTCTATAGTTTTAGCAGGTATTCAATTTATATGGATGCTGTTGATCCATGAACTACATTTTGAGTACTGAGGGTCAGAACAAAGTCCAAATAACTTAGGACACAAGACTCCATGGTCTGGTGGGCCCCAATATACTTTCCAGTGTCATCTTCCATGAATTTCTTCATTTACGCTAGACTCAAACCAACCAGCCTACTCTATATTTGTGGTAACTGCCTTCTGATATGACC